GCCCCCGGCCGCCCCGCCTCCGCCCGCTCCTCTCTAATCGCCCAGCCCACTAGGTGAGCCCCGCCCCCGCGACCCGATTTGGGAGCTTGGGATCCCCGCCCCAGGCTTGAAGGCGGGCCAGCCCCTGGTTACCTGTGTCCCCGATGATGATGTACTTGAAGAGATAAGCATAAGTCATGGTCTCGACTTCTCCGGGTTCCGGGTCCGCCCGACTTCTGCAGCCACGTACCTCCGACCTCCCTAGCCACTCAATCTACCGATCTCCTTATTTTTTTTTCCCCCTCTCCGGCGCCTCTAGCCCAGATCACGTCTCTATTGCTCTCCCCAGAAATCCTCCTTACGTCCGGAGTACCCGAAGCCACCTCCGGGGAAGCCTCTAGCACTTCTACATGCTATCATCCCACCAAGCTCCAGGGGGCGCCAGCTACCTTTCCGGCACGCTCGGCGCCCGACTCGCAGCAGGCCCGCGGCACTCTTTCCAATCAGCGCCGAGCAACGCACGTCCTTGCGGAAGTGACGGCAGTTCCGAGTCCAGTGGGGGCGGTGGGAGCGATGAGGGGTCTGAGGCGGTGGTAGCGGTTGGGTGAAGATGGAGGTAGGTGTCTGATCGCTAAGAAGAGAGCGCTGGCGAGAGAGCGCCGCCGACCGGGTTGAAGCAAAGATGGGAAGCCGCGTGGAGAGGCGGCTGACGGGAGAGGCGAGAGAGCGGGGTTTGGGGAGTGTTGTCAGAATGTCGGGGTCAGGATCCGCCGCTCCAGGCTAACTCCCTGCTTCCCCTAACTTATCCCTGTGGCTTTCTTTTGGCTTCCAGTTTCCCGGAGGAAATGACAATTACCTGACGATCACAGGGCCCTCGCACCCCTTCCTGTCTGGGGCCGAGGTGAGCAAGAGCTGCCGACGCTGCGGGGGGAGGGGTGATGGGGGAGAGCGCGGACGCCGGGACTGGGAACCACCGGACACAATTGGTCTGGGGCGGGGGAGGGGGGGGTTGCGGAGTGGCAGCTGCTTCTGGAGCCCATGAGGACTATCTGGGGGAAGGCTCGGAGACTGCTGTCATCAGAAAAACAGGATGTTGAAAAGAGATAACCTATTTAAGGAGGAGAGTGATTCTGGATTATTGGAGAGAATCCCCTTTTTATAAGGGGAGAAATAAATACAATCTCTTGAGGGATTACAATGGGAAGAAAATTTTTCAGCAGCTAAAGAAATTGGGGTGAAGGGAGGAGCTTACCAATCGGGGGTTAACCGTAGACTTGTGTTTATTCTTGCAGTGAACCTCTGTTGAAGGCGTCTTTTTTTCATTTACATTTCCTACTTTGATAAGTTTGTAGATACGTTTACGTACACGATGTCAGCTTGTTTTGCTAATGAAAGGACGAAAGGAAATAGTTGCCAGAGAATGTGAAAAGAATCGAGTAGGACGTGTGTTTCTTTTGCCCCGGTGACTCATCTTTGTATGTCACAGTTTCTCCGCTGTCAAATAGATGTAATAATCGTTTTTATGATGTTTTAAAGTAGAATTAATGGTATGGTGAAGTTCTAAAGTATCTGTGAAAAAAACTGGGTTGAAGTACTGTCATAATATAGGTATGTGTCATTTGTTTAGGCAAGGCAAAAGAGAAAGGTGGAACAAAAATTTCTGTCTTTGGAAAACTGAAATCTTGAAACTTCTGCTATCTTTTGAATATTTAATTTTCTTTTTTCAAAAGTGGTATGAAGCATTTGCATCAGTTTTTTATACCAAGAATTCTCAATTACTGTTTGCATAGGCTTAGCCTGTAAAAATCCTGATGCTTTCGTGGATGATAATTAAATTGACAAGGAGCAGCTGTTAGTTTAATTTTCTCTTGCTATATTATTTATTCTTCTAGACAGGGGCAACTGTGAATCAAGTGAGCAGCAAATATAGAAATGACATCAAACTAAAATCTGTTTAGTGTTTTGTACCCTTATTGCCAGATTCTTCTCAGTGAGATCTCCATTGTATAATTTGACTATTTGGAGTGTTGTAAATCTCACATTAACTTTATCCACATGAAGTGCCAATTTTTTTTTTTCAATCAAGTCTCTACAAAAAAGTCCATTATTTAGAGAGTAAATTTTACATTGACTTCATTCATGTGAAAGTGCATTTTAAAATTAAATACAAGTAGCTTTCAAATTTACCCACTGTTCTTAATTCTCTACTCTTTTTATGAAGTTGAACAATCAGCTGAGTGTGGTAATCCCAGCACTTTGGTACCAAAGTAGATTGCCTGAGCTCAGGGGTTCAAGACCAACCTGAGAAATATGGCGAGACCTTGTCTCTATAGTAAATTAAAAAATTAGCCAGGTGTGGTGGTACACACCTGTGGTTCCAGCTACTTGGAAGGCTGAGG